ATACAGTCATAAAAAGGAATGAACTACTGACATATGGTACAACATGGATGAATTTTGAAAACATGAGGCTAATGAAAGAAGGCAGACACAAAAGTCACTGTATCATTTTATATATATGAAATGTACATACAAGCAAATCCACACACAGAGAAAACAGAGTAGAGGCTGCCAGGGTCTGCAGAGAGGCGGGAATGAGGAGTGCCTGCTAATGTGCAAGAGGGGTTCTTTGGGGAATGATGAAAATGCTATGGGTTAGATAATGATGATGGTTGCACAAGCTTGTGAATGTGCTGAATGCCACTGATTTTACTAAAGTTTCTAGAGGTGAATTTTATGGTTTGTGAATTATATCTCAATAACTTTTATAATGTAAATTACCAATTTTCCCAGAGTGATTACCTGCTGTTCTCCTCTCCCCCTCTCCCACACTCCATTCCCTTTCCTCTCTAGTCCTGCACCCACCCTAAGTAGCCGCCTCTGGACCATCCTGAGCCTTGGGCCTCCAGTTGGTGGCAGGGCAACCCAGCACGTGCGCACTCCCATCGCTCACACCTGGAAGAAGTGGATGCTTCCAGGGAGATATTTCTTGTGAGCTTAGGTGGTTAGTGATGTTTAGAGCGGGCTGCATGCGCCAGGTTGAGAGGAGGACCATTCCTGTCAAGATAACATTTAGGCCCGTCCTGAAGTTTCATCTGGTCCGCCATGAAGCTCCAGGTGCCATGCTCTGAAAGCCAGGTTGGCCGCCTAAGGGCACCTGAAATGCCAAGGACTTCACAGGCATATAGCCCTCAAATTGAGGCCTTGCCCCTCCCATGCAATGTGACCTCAGTCCATTGCTGAACCTCACTAGTGAAGTGGCACAGTGATACAGACAGTAGTGTGCTTTCGGGCCTGGTGTGCAGGTGTTGAGTAAATGGTGATTTAAATCCCAGGCCCTGCTCTGGCTTGGCCTCCTGCTGCAGTAGTTCGCTGGGCTCAGCCCTTGTTATCAGCTGCCCCCAGGTATAGCTCTGAGCCCCTACCATTCATCTGGCAGATTCCTCTATGATTTGTATTTGCCTCTCCCAGCCATAATCATACATGGATTAGGCAGCCCAAAGTTTTGGAGTTGTGTCCTGAATCCCTTGTTTTCTAAAATACTTAACCTGGTGGTCATGAGACATGATGTCAGCCGTCATGAGAGACATTGTACATTTCTCCTGGTGAACCCAGACGCATCTCCTGCCATCTTCAACTATTCAAAGGTTAACTCTGACCCTTAGCCCTGATGCGCTTCTTACTTCTGCCATTTCCCGCACACCAGCTCCTTTTTATAAACCTGTAACCTCTCTCCCCCTTTTGGCCTTCCTGACCCTAGGCTGAGTTCCTTCCTCCCTCCCCAGTTCTTATCCCTTTTCCCTTACGTGCCATCCACCTTGCAGGTCTTTCTTTTTCATACAGGCTCTCACCCCCACTCCCACCAAAGAGAAACCACAGTTGAAAGCATATCAAAACTCAAAAGGCTTCTTTGTTACTCATCTATTAATTCTATTACATGTATTGTTTTAAAATCTATCAGAATAAATAGAGAAACATATCTATCTACCTGTGGAAACATATCTATCTAACTACATGTGGAATCATATCTGTCTGTCTACATATGGATACTTATATCTATGTATGTGCCACAGACTTATATCTATCAATCTACAGCTGTTAACCAAAGTGGCACCAACAATCCTATCAGCTCTTACATTACATAGCCATAGTAGTCAGCAATTTCCATTTCCTTTTCCCTCTCGATGAAAAACTGTACTTTCCCCGCAAAGGTGTATTTGGCAGCATTCTCACACTCTTGTTGAACCCGCCTCTTCATAGCCTCCCACTCTGACCTCTGCTCTTCTGTGATGGGCTTTGACATTACTGGTCCATAAATATCAGGTTTCCTCCATGGACAGGGTTGGAAGCAGAATTTTTGGGGTGGAAGCTGGGTTTGAGGCTTGGGTGGAGGCTCGTACTGGGGCACCGCAGTGGGAATGGGCTCCTGCTGGAGAGAAGTACAAGATGATATTCTGTAGGGTACAGGTCTAGAAGCAGCAGACTGGGTGACCCTAGGCTGGGTAGAGTTGGTCAAGTGTGGTTGGGTTGAGTTGGTCAGGACTGGACCCAGAGATGAGCAGGCAGGACCTGTCAAAGATGCACGTGCTTGCCGGGATGAACCAATTGCAGTAGGTTGAGCTGCATCAGTAGATCCAGGCCGGGTAGAAGAAGCCAAATCTGGCCGGTGTGAGGCCAGAGACTGTGGCCTCCAAGGAACTCGATGAGCTTGAGGCTTGTCCTCAGTCAGAAAAGGCAGGGGCACCAAGTTGACCTTCCCAGGAGGTGACCATTCATCCTGGGATGGAGATGAACACTCTTTTTTGACACTGCCATCTGGTTTCTGGGCTCTGGCATGAGTTTTCCCAAGGCCTTTACCCTCATATGGAGTATTCAGCCATGGTTTGGTGGCCGGTGGTGGCTGGGGGTCTTTGGGGTTCCTTGAATTTCCCAAGGCCTGGGAAGAAGAGAATCCAGTTTCCTTATCAGTCTTCTTCCCCAGTGCATGAAAAACCTGCACAGGCTCCAGCATGTACATGCCTAGCGTGCTTCTAGGTTTTTCAAAGTTCTCTTGGCTTAGCTCAGGTTGGTTTTTCTTCCGCTTCATCCTGGGAATGGTTGGCTTTGCTTCTGCCCTGACTTTGCTCCTGGACTGCTTACCCTCTTCAGCTTGCTTGGAGTTGCCTTTTCTGTCCTCTCCTCCTACTTTCTCTTTTCACCTGGTTTAGATAGAACACTGCAAAATGTGTGGATATTACTTTTTGAACATCATTAAATTACAACATAGTAAATTTGAAACACTAGTGGAGGGAGGCCACTACAGATGAGACACATCTCAGTGTATCCTGCCAGTTTTCTACACCACCTCGTTTTCTCGTTTTTGTGGAAACACTTTCAAGATGCCTCTGATTTCATTTACTACATGGGTGCCCTTAAAGACTCAATATTGGAAGAGAAAGGGACCAGAGAAAACCAATCTGCCATCCTAATGTAACAGATGCAAAAACCAGATTTTCTTGGAGAGTCAATCAATGACTTGTCCAAAGTCACACAGCTAGTAAATGTCAAAGTCAAAAGTGAAACTAGGTCTCCAGATTTCTAGTTCAACACTTTCTCCCATTAATTCATGCTATTTTAAACCTGCTACTAAATTTAGGGGCAAAAATATCTAATGAAAATCTCTTAAGAGTTTCTTTCCTTACCTGAGATGGTCAGAGAAGAAGGGGAAACACCAACTGTAGATCCAAGAGATGAGGAGATGCTAGAGGATGTCTGAGTGGCTGAAGCCAAAGAGCACGTGTGTCCAGTATGAAGACTACTGGTCACTGGTCACTTGCAATGCTCCAAGTCTATTTACAAATAACTCCGTGGAAACCCCAAGATTCTACAGGTGGTGATAGGTTGGTGGGAGAATGATGTCACAAGCAGGCAGTTTAAAGGTACGAGGTAGCCAATAGGGAGGTCAGATGCCCAACAAGAAGACAGGATTGGATGGAGGCAGTAGTAGGTGAGCTAAAACAGCACCTAAATGGCTGAGCTCTGTGAAGGGGGAATCCTACAGGTCAGGTGTGATAGGCCCCCTTTCCCCCCAGGATCTTATGTTAGGGAAATCATCTCAACATTTCTTATGGATATTCATGAACATTAAAAACTAATAATTATTTATAATACATTTTATGGCATATACTACCCATTTTAAATTATATGTACTGTTAATTAATATCCTTAGGAAGGAGCAACATTTAGGTTGAACACTTAACAGTTGTTCTGACATAGTATCAGTTGATCTGCTTAATGTACTTGCCCTTTTTTAGAAGCACAAGAGGGGATTGAAGAGCTCTTTTTGTAACTTGGTCCAAGAATTGGATGAATTTATTGAGTGCACCTTGTGAGGAAAGGTTTGGTCCAAGGATCTTTCCATTTGGTTTCCTCTCCTTGACGCCTGCCTTCCTGTCAATGCCAGGTTGCACTTGCATCTCTCTTCTGCTTTCCTTATATTCTTCATTATAGGCATTGTTTGTGGGACAAGCCTTGATCTGGCATCCCCCATAGCCCATTATTGCAGGCACTGTCTATCAGTGTAGTACGATTCCACAGCATCACCATTTGTCTCATCTGTGCTACACTTTCTTCCTCATGATCCATCCCACACCATGTGTACTAATCATAATACGCCCCAATCCCCTTCTCCCTCCCTCCCCACCAGCCCTGCCCCACCCCTCCCCTTTGGTAACTGCTGGTCCCTTCTTGGAGTGCGTGAGCTAATGCTCTTTTATTCCTTCAGTTTTTCTTTGTTGTTATACTCCATAAATGAAGGAAATGATTTGGTATTTGTCTTTCTCTGCCTGATTTATTTCACTGAGCATAATATCCTCTAGCTCCATCCATATTGTTACAAATGGTAGGATTTGTTTCTTTCTTATAGCTGAATAGTATTCCATTGTGTACATGTACGTCTTCTTTATCCCTCCTTCTCCTTGTGGACACTTAGGTTGCTTCCATATCTTGGCTATTGTGAATAGTGCTGCAATAAAAATAGGGTTGCATGTCTTTTTTAATCTGGAAGTTGTTTTCCTTGGGTAAATTCCTAGGAGTGGAATTCCTGAGTCAGAATATTTCTATTTTTATTTTTTTGAGGAATGTACATACTGCATTCCACAATGGCTGAACTAGTTTACATTCCCACCAGCAGTGTAGGAGGGTTCCCCTTTCTCCGCATCCTTGCCGGCATTTGTTCTTCCTAGTCTTCTCATTGTTATCCATCTTGACTGGTGTGAGGTGATATCTCACTTTGGTTTTAACTTGCATTTCCCTGATAATTAGTGACATGGATCATTTTTTCTTGTGCGTGTTGGCCATCTGAATTTCTTCTTTGGAGAAGTGTCTGTACATAACCTCCACCCAGTTATTAATTGGGTTATTTGCTTTTCAGGTGTTGAAGCGTGTTAGTTATTTCTGTATTTTGGATGTTAATACCATGTCAGATATGTTGTTTACAAATATATCCTCCCATACTGTACGATGCCTTTTTGTTCTGCTGATGGTGTCCTTTGCTGTACAGACTTTTAGTTTGATGTAGTCCCATTAGTTCATTTTTGCTTTTGTTTCCCTTGCTCGAGGAGATGTGTTCAGGAAGAAGTTGCTCATGCTTCTTCCTTTTGTGTATGGAGTTAAACAATAATCCAGTTTCATTCTCTTGCATGTAGCTGTCCAGTTTTGCCAACACCAGCTGTTGAAGAGGCTGTCATTTCCCCATTGTATGTCCCTGGCTCCTTAATCATATATTAATTGAACATATATCGTTGGGATTTTATCAGGGCTCTCAAGTCTGTTCCATTGATCTATGGGTCTGTTCTTGTGCCAGTACCAAATGGTCTTGATTACTGTGGCTTTGTAGTAGAGCTTGAAGTTGGGGAGCATAATCCCTCCCTCTTTATTCTTCCTTGTCAGGATTGCTTTGGCTATCTGGAGTCTTTTGTGTTTCCATATGATTTTTAGAACTATTTGCTCTAGTTCGTTGAAGAATGCTGTGGGTATTTTGATCGGAATTGCATTGAATCTGTAGATTGCTTTGGGCAGGATGGCCATTTTTACAATATTCTTCTATCTATGAACATGGGATGTGTTTCCATTTATTAGTATCTTCTTTAATTCCTCTCATGAGTGTCTTAGTTTTCAGAGTACAGGTCTTTTACTTCCTTGGTTAAGTGTATTCCTAGGTATTTTATTCTTTTTTAAGCAATTTGTAAATGGAATTGTAATCCTGATTTCTCTGCTAGTTCATTGTTAGTGTATAAAAATGCCAAAGATTTCTACGTATTAATTTTGTATCCTGCAACTTTGCTGAATTCAGATATTAAATCTAGTAGTTTGGGAGTGCTTTCTCTAGGGTTTTTTATGTACAATATCATGTCATCTGCAAACAGGGATAGTTAAACTTCTTCCTTGCCAATCTGGGTACCTTTTATTTCTTTGTGTTGTCTGATTGCCATGGCTAGTACCTCCAATCGTATGCTGAAGTTAAGTTTCTTATCGGTCGGCCCTCTAGGAAATTCTGCAAAATTAAGTTATCAGTCTAGACTGTCTGCTCTTTCTCTAAGGTGGGCTGACTTATTTGTGGTTTGGTAACAAGTATGTTAAGAATCTTTCTCTTACACTTCCTGGGTTTTTTCAAAATGCAATTTTGGCTATAAGGTGTGGGGTCTCCCTGTCTTTATAACGCTGTTTATAGGTAGGCCTTTTAGCAGGCTAGAGTAAATCTGACAGTGATCTAATTGACACAGTGAAAACATGGGTTGTGCTCAGGTACTTTTATCTTGGGAATATTCAAACGTTCAAGGCCAAGTTGCTCTTCACCTTTTGAACGGTAACCGATTAACTCATTAACTCTGAGTCTTTTCTGGATTTCTAGTTTTAACTGGTTAACTGAGTCCTTTCTAGTGGGCTGTACTGATGTTTTGTCCTTCTACCATGCTCATATCTATTTTCCTGACTAACAAAGGTGAAAGGATTGCAGGCTTGGTATCAAACAGGTGTATGACCATCTACATCTACAGGTCAGTCAGTAATTCCGGTCTTTCTTCATCTGGTAAAATTGAAGAGCCGAGCAGCAGCAGCTTGAGCTTCCGGCAGGCGTCCCACTTATCACAGCGGAGCTGCCGTGCTCTCTTGCCATCAGTCCACCGGGCTTCCTCGGCCTCCCCCCTCAGGGAGCATGCCGCGCTGACCCAGGGGTCATTCTCCTGCAGCGCTTGTGCGGCAGCCCCACTGGCCCTTCTGCTCGCTCATGTGCGTGCGCACGCACGCACCCTCCCGCCCTCGCTACCCCGAGGCCACACTGGCTGCCGAGCCCCCACCACCTGAGCCCGCCTCCATGACAAGCTCAGGAAACCTCTGGGCTGGGGAGGCAGCGGGAGCAAGCGGCTTGGGCCGCCAGGACGAGCGAGGTGGGTGCGGGCTTGGGAGGCGTGCGAGGGAAGGCCTCCCTGACCGGCCTCGCCCAGATGCCCGCACCTCCTTCCATAGGAAGCAGCGGCCCGCCTCGTCCCCCGCGCCGCCTCCACACCCGCAGCTGAGGTTCCCTGAAGGCCTGCGCCTGGCAGTGAGAGCACAGCCACCGGGGCATCCCTGCAGTGAGCAGCCACCAACGGCTGCGCACACCCGAAGCGCTTGCCCCTCGCTGCTGCCTGGCACCGCTCCGGGGCGCCCTCGGCCCTGCCCGCGCTCACCACCCACATGGCGTGCCTGTAATTGTAAGTTTTTAAGGGCTGCTCGATAATTCTAAAATTATGGTTTTATAATTGAGATATATTAACGTATAGCATTGTGTTAGTTTTAAGTGTACAACATAATAATTTAATATATGTATTAACACATTGTGCAATGATTACAGCAGTAAGTTTAGTTAACGTCCATCACTGTATATATAGTTAGGAGTCTTTTCTTCCTGGGATGAGAACTTTTAATATCTACTCTCTCAACATTTAAATATACAAATACAGCATTGTTAATTATATTCACCATGCTGTATATTGCATACCAGGACTTACGCATCTGGTAACTGTAAGTTTGTAACTTGTGACCTTCAGTCATTGTGCCTACCCCTACCCCTCACCCCCGCCTTGTCTGGTATTCACCTATCGTTCTGTATATATATGAATTCCTTTCTGTTTTGTTTTCCTTTAGATTACAAATGTAAGTGATATCATACAGTATTTTACTTATTTCACTTAGGGTACATCCATGTTGTTACAAATAACAGAATTTCCATTTTTTTTGTAACTGAATAATATCCCACTGTGTGTGTGTATATACATATATATATATACACACACAACATTTTCTTTGTCCATTCATCCATCAGTGGACACTTAAAATGTTTCTGTGTCCTGGCTATTGTAAACAATGCTGCAGTGAACAGAGCAAATATTTTAAGATTGTGATTTCACCTCCTTTGGATAAATACTCAGAAGTGGAATTGCTGAATCATGTAGTAGTTCCTTTTTTTATTTTTTACTGAAGCTCCGTACTGTTTTAGATAGCAGCAGAACCAATTTACATTCTAACAGTGAACGGAAAGGTAACCCTTTTCTCCACGTCCTCCCTAACACTTGGTATTACTTGCCTTTGTGATAATAGACATTCTAACAGGTATGCGGTGATATCTCACTGTGGTTTTGATTTGCATTTCCTTGATGATTAGTGATGTGGAGCACCTTTTCATATACCCATTGGCTATTTGTATGTGTTCTTTGGAAAAATGTCTATTTACATCCCTGTCCATTTTGTATTTGGGTTGTTTGGTGGGTTTTTTTCCCCTACTGAATTGTGTTAATTCTTCCTATATTTTAGATATTAATCCCTTATCAGATATGTGATTTGAAAATATTTTCTCTGAATCTATAGATTGTCTTTATTTGTTGATTGCTTCCTCCTTTTCATTTTATATAATCCTACTTTTTCTTTTTACTTTTGTTGCCTTCTCTCACTCTTGGTGTCAATTCAAAAAACTGTCAACAAGACCAGTGTCAGTGAGCTTACCCTCTGTTTTCTTCTAGGAAGTTATGATTTCAGGTCTTAATGTTTCAGTGTTTGATCCATTTAGAGTTGATTTTTGTGTATGGTACAGGGGTTTATCTCTAAGCTCTCTATTCTGTTCCATTGATCTATGTGTCTGTAGTGTACTGTTTTGATTATTATAGCTTTATGAATATAGTTTGAAATCAGGGAGCTTGATACCTCCAGCTTTGTTGTTCTTTCTGAAGATTACTTTGTCTATTCAGGCTTTTGTGGTTCCAAACACATTTTAGCTTTGTTCTAGTTCCATGGACAGTGCCTCTGGGGTTTTGATAAGGGGTTACATTGAGTCTGTGGATTGCTTTGAGTAGTATGTGATGATAATTGTTTCAGTCTATGAGCACAGACTCTTTACATTTCCGTACATATTCTTCAACTTCTTTCATCAGCATTTTACAGGTTTCAGCATACAGATTTTTCACCTCATTGATTAGATTTATTTGTGGGTATTTTTTTATTTTCAATGCAAGTGTAAATGTGA